AGGAGCCTTGGCAGTGTTGGTAAGTTAACAAACTCCTCTTGCTAATGTCCTCAAAGTTTGTGTGATCCAATGAATGGGAACTCTCATTCTTGGATGCCTGACCAGGAAGTAATGCACTGGTTTACGAAAACAATGGGGGAGTCAGGCAGTGGTGGCACACGCCTTTAATTTAATCCCGGCACCACTCAGGAGGTAGAGGCAGGTGGATCTCTGTGAGTTCAAAGATCAGCCTTGTCTACACAGTGAGTTCCAGGACAGCCAGGGCAATAATAATAATAATGAGACTATGTCTCAAAATAACAAAAACCCATATATGTTAAGTGAAATGAGTATTAACAGATCAAACACCTAGCTGTCCTGTTACTGCAAGTCTCTAAGACTGATGTGCATACAGTGGAGACAGAACTCCGTCATTTGTGGAGGAGCTTTTGTTTTGGAAAGAAGAAACAAATCAATTGACATTTCACATGATTGAAAACAAACCAGCTGACAGCAAATGTTTGCCTACTTTGTTTTGCCTGTCAGTAATGTGGATGAAAGAAATGACCGTTTGGGTAATTATGTTTGCAAGATAGTGTTCATAACTTCAATCCTCAGTTAACTCAAGGCACACCTCCTGCTGCTCAAAACTGCCCCAAGTGTTCTTGAAATGTCAAGTTGAATACAATGTCATCTTCAATAAATCATGTCGAACAAAAAAGTGGCTTTGTGGTCATTAGTGCAATTGGCCCTGAATTGGCATCCAAATTCATTACTATTCAGATCAGAAATGCAAAACTATTTTACTCTGTATTTCATACTGTACTCAAATACAAAGAAATGTGAGTAGTCTAGCCTCCTCCAAATCAGCCTAAATTCTTTTAGTTTAATGTATTGTTTTGTGTACAGGTTCTTTAGAGCTCTGCTCACTGACTTGAGTCCCTAAGTGGCTCAATGCTGGAATTACATGGCCAACAAATACTCCACAATTTGGACCATTACTCATATAATATTGTTTTAAAGTATAAGTAACTCAACTTCAAATTAGTATTTATTTCTACCTCTAAAAATCTAATTTGAAGGATGGCAAGAAAAACCAATATACTTAAATGATTTAGAATGGGTTTATCATAGTTTTAATACCAACATCCTCTTGAAATTGTCTTTTTCTTTTAAACCTATAGTTTACATACAGACTGGGGGGTGGGGTGGGTGTTAAGTGCTCAAATGGAGAAGATGATTTGGGACTTTATCATCAGTTAGCCTGCTAGTTCTCCCACTCAAAAATGATTGGCTTTGTGGTTAGGAACAACTGTTTACTTCCTCTTTATTATAGGCTACACCCCAATTTGGACCATTACCCCATCTAGATAAATAATTAAACTTCAAATTAGTATTTATGCCCACCTCTAAAAATCTAATTTGAGATATTCGCCCATGGTGGAAAGAAAGCCCAGTACACTTACAGCTGCACAGTACTCCTGTAAACCAGTGTTTGTTATATGGTGACTATTGAATAAGTTATCTAAGCAACATAATACTTTCTTTAATACCTGCTAGCTAGTCACATAAATGCCATTGATTGTTACTGGAAAGGGTCATTAGCCTGGGGAGCAGTATCTATGAAAGCTGCAAAGAAAAAACTACAGATGACAGTGCATGTTTAAAAGCACTTCTTCCTCACCCATAGTAAAGCAGATGTGAGTCAGAACAAGATGCCAGACTTTATTACTTGACTGGAACTAGAGAACGAGATAACCGTCATGTGGGGGCTGGAAAATGGAGCACTCTCAAACTTTTTTGTTGGAATACTATTTGGCACAGACTTTATGGATGACAATTTGGAATTTATCAACAAGGATGACATACACATATCCTCTAGCCTGGTTGCCAAGTTGTAGGAACTTCCCAGTGGCTGCACTGGCAAGACTTAGTAAGAAAAGCACAGTTTTGTGGGAGCCCACACCTTTGATCCTAGCACTCAGGGGACAGAGGCAGGCAGATTTCTGTGAATTTGAAAGCATATTGGTCTACAATGTAGACTCTACATAGTGAGTTCCAGGCCAATCTGGACTATACAGTGAATTCCAGGCTAGTCTGGCTTACATAGTAAGTTCATGCCCAGGACTACATAGTGAATACCTGTGCCTGTCAGGTCCAAAGAAACTCCTTTTCCCAAATTCTGGCAATTAGACAAAAGCCAGCATTCGCTCAGGGATTTGGGAAACTAGTACCCACTTGCCAAAAGGAGTCATTCTCCTTATTGCTAACAAAAGGGACATATGGCTCTCCCATTAGCACGTGCCTGTGGTGCCTATGAGCATATCTAGGTCCGAGCTGGCTCACAGGCCCCCTCAGTTTGGACTCACAAGTTATACACTTCAAATCCCTGACCCCAGTTCACTGGCTCTCTTCCTGCCAGGTACCCATTCCTTTATAACCCTGAAGATCCAGCCCCCCACACCACCACCACCCACTGCCCTTGCCTTGGCTGTTTAGAATAAACTTTTCCCTTTTCATCTACAGACTGGCATTTCAGTTTCTTTACCACACCCCTCACATTCAGTCTCAAAAAAAAAAAAAAGTTCTTGAAACATTATTGGCAATAGTAAAAAACTAAACAAATAAACACACAAAAGCCAAAAATGTAGAAACAAACAGAATACCTACCACAGGAACTGCTTAAATAAATTGCGAAGCGTCCTTTTACAGTGACTTTTGAATATAGTCATCAAAAAGAGAAAGATCAGCCAATGTAAACACTACCCGATGGATAATAGTACACTTTTTGTATTTACATTGGGGGGGGCAGACAGGTGGAAGTCAGGGAACAACTTCTGGGAGTTGACTCTCGCTTTCACCTTGTGGGTTCAGAGAACTGAACTCAGGTTGCCAGGCAGCAATTGTCTTTACTCACTGACCTACCTTGCCAGACAACTATCTACAGCTTTTAACTACCAGTCTTTCCCTTTTGTAACTGGGTGAAGCAAGCCTTTTCTGGTCTCATAGACATGTTTCTTTAAACTTTAAAGACTTCTGCAGGACTTTTCTGGGAGACATGAACACACATGACTTCACACCAGGTAAGGAACAAAGAGACAGAAGAAAAATTCCGCCAAGTGCAGCTTTGGGTGAATGATGAGTGTCACTGGGGTTACTTACAGGCTATGGGCAGCTTAAAAGCAGCTATACCACTGAAGAGTCTCCCCACCAGCAACCGTGAAGGGCTTAAATGTTCTGAGGAGGGGCAGGGCATGTTAGCCTAGTTAGCCCACGCCTCCTCGTCTTCCATGAGGGGATGTTAGTGGATCAGTCTTGTAAGGACTCTGGTGTAAAAAATCAGCAGCCATGTCAGTCATGTCAAGACCAGACAACAGAGTTCTATAACACTGTTCAATTTCAGATACGGGGGATGGGAGAAGTGCTCATTGGTGTTTTTGTGTGGCTTATTTTGCTTAGCCCAATGACTTCAAAGTTCATCCATTTGTTGCATACATCAGAACTTTATTACTTTTTATAGCGGAATTATCTGTTATATGCACATCTGCAATACCAGAATTCCTGGGATTAAGATGGGGTGATTATAAGCTGGAGGCCATTCTGAGCTACATAACAAGTTCAAGGTTAGCTTGGTTTATGAAGGAATAATATCTCTCAAAAAAAAAAAAAAAACTTAGCTACGTAGTGGTGGCACACAGCTTTGATCCCAGCACTCAGGAGGCAGAGGCACTCGGATCTCTGAGTTTGAGGCCAGCCTGGTCTACAGAGTGAATTCCAGGACAGCCAGCAGGACTACACAGGGAAGCACTGTCTCAAAAAAATAAATAAACAAAACAAACAATAATCTTAATGGGTATTAAGTAGTATCTAATTGTGGTTTCAATTTGAATTTTATAGTTTTTCCAAGTTTAATTTTCAACTTAATTAAGACTTATTACTATATTTTTAGACCTATTTATTTATTATGTATACAGTGTTCTGTCTGCATATATCCCTGCAGGCCAGAAGAGGGCACCAGATCTCATTACAGATGGTTGTGAGCCACCATGTGGTTGCTGGGAATTGAACTCAGGACCTTTGGAAGAACAAGCAGTACTCTTAACCTCTGAGCCATCTCTCCAGCCCTTATTACTATATTTTAAAGTACAGGAATGGAACATTTTTTTTGGTAGGGGGAGGGGTAGGTTTGAGACAGTGTTTCTCTCTGTGTAGCCCTGGCTGTCCAGGAACCAGCTCTCTAGACCAGGCTGACCTTGAACTCACAGAGATCTGCCAGCCTCTGCCGGGATTAAGGCGTGTGCCACCAGCACCCAGCATTGGGGGAGAGGGTTTCTTTTCTTCATTACAAACCAAGGATACCGCCTCAGCTGCAATGCTTTGGATAAGGCAATAGCTGCCTTACTGCCTACATGTTTCAGTTTGTTTGTTTGTTGTTGAGACAGGGTGTCACCATGTAGCACTGACTGGCTTGGGACTACCCTTGTAGACCAGGATGGCCTCAAATTTATAGTGATCTTCCTACCCCAGCCACCTGTGTACTAGGATGACAGATTACATCGCTACACCCCAATTGCTTATTGCTTTGGCCCTGGCTTCTTCCATGGTACTTGGCACACAACAGGTACTCAATAAAGAATATATAAATAATGCCGGGCGGCAGTGGTGCAAACCTTAAATTCCAGCACTCAGGAGGCAGAGGCAGGTAGATCTCTAAGACCAATCTGGTCTTCAGAGTAGTTCAGGGATAGCCAGGGCTACACAGAGAAACCCTGTCTTGAAAACAATACAACAACAAGAAAAAGAATATATAAATATTCTTACTAAGTACAAAAGACTACACTGGCTGCTATGAGATTATTTTACTATCTAAGGGAGTAAATCTATGTAGAAGTGACACAGAGTGTATGCAAGTACACACATACACACTTCTGAAAAGACTCATCGTTTTTGAAGTCTTAGTTAAACAAGTTGTTTCAGGACTAACCCAGGATGACCAAGAAACCATTAGTCATGTGACTTACAGTTAAGGGAAGTAACTCCAGGGCCGATATTCATCCCATCTGGTTGACAAGGTGTTCTTCAGAAATTCTCAGATGATGTAGTCAGGGACTCTGTGTTTACCAAGTTTTAGGCAGGATCGCTGAAGAGAAAGATATATACAATCAGAACACTGCTGTACCCCTACAGTTATATGACCAATTTCATGCTTGAAAGTCATCTATTAATAGTAATTTTATCATAAACTCTTTAGCAAAACTGGACATTTGAAATTTTCCAATTAGTTGTTCCTTACCAGATGACAAGCCATTACTTCCTCCCAGCTGAAGGAAATGGGGGCTGTTCTGCCTTTTCCATTCACTTCCCACAGAGTAAGGCTAAACAAGGTGTTCCTCACTCCTTTCCCCAAGCTAAGAACTTGTCTGAATTTACTGACTCGTCGATTGACCTGAACGAGTCTCTGATACTCACGAGAGTAAAGGGCTGGTAATAAAGAGGGGCACTAAGGTGGGAGCTTCCTGCATTCCCATCCTCCTTGAACTATGCTAAGTTCTCCGTGTTTGTGAGTCCCTTGCACAGCTCAGAAGGTGGCTGGCATTTCTTGAGAAGCTCCTCTGGATCCCTCAACAATAAAAGATTGTTAGATGTCCCTGGAAGACATTGGTGGGAGTATCCAGGAGAAAGAGGCTGAGCCTGCAATCTCTTAACTTGGGAGCCCCAGAAGGCAACAGTGTTCACACAACACAGGTGACAGAGCCAACATTACACAATGGGAGAGCTGTTACTCAAGAAAGCAGAGTGACAACTGCCACTTCTTCAAGGACAGTCTTGCAAAGAACATTCTTTCTCCTTTGTTTTTCTTACTTGAGAAGAGAAGGGGGAGAGAAAAGTAGGAGACATCATCAACCCTTCTAGAGAGAGCAACTGTAGGCACAAATTAACCTGTACTAGAACAGAAAAAGCTGTGCATTAAATAGAAGATGAAATATTTTAAGGGGTCAGGCTGAAGTTTTAACACCTGGAACATGAATCACTCCTTTGAAAGTGGCTACAGTACTCTCCTTGGGAAAGTCGCTACCCAGAAAGCAAAAGGATTCCAGAGACAGTGGTAGTGGCTATTGGGGGAAAATTAAACTGTTTTATATTATGATTCACAGGTTGACACCTCTCACCATGACTGTAGTCTTACCAGGATTTTCTAATCTGTTCCCCTTAAAGTGAAACCAGGTCCAAGGCACTCTGTTGGCATAGCTTTTGAGTGAGTAAATACATTTACTCTATCTAGCTTAAGAAGTACTAAATATTTATATGAACTAAAAACATATAGTAAGATATGTTTGTCTTTATATTTAGTTCACAATGTGTTTGGGGACTGAATGTTTGCATTTTCTCCAGACTCAGACATTGAATCCTTAACCCTCAGTGTTCTGGTCTTTGGAGCTGGAGCACTTGGGAGGTGACCTAGTTTGCTTTCTGCTGCTTTGGTAAATACCATAACCCAAAGCAACTTGGGGAGGGAAGGGTTTATTTTATCTTACAATTTCCAGGTAACAGTCCATCCCTGAGAGAATTCAGGGCAGGGATTCAAGGAAGCAACCTGGAGTCAGGGACTGAAGCAGAGGCCATGGAGGAGTGCTGCTTACTGACTTGCTCTCTATGGCTTGCTCAAGCTGCTTTCTTATACAGCCCAGAACCACCCACCCAGAGGTAGCACTGTCCACAGTAAAGTCCTCCTACAGCAATTATTAAACAATAAAATACCGTCGTTCCCCGCCCCCCCCCGACGGATGTGCTACAGGAAGGGACAATTCCTCTGCTGAGGTTCCCCTCTTCCTCGGGGGCTCTAGTTTGTGTCAAGTTGTCAAAAACTGAGCAGCACAGGAGGCCTGATTTAGTGGGATTGGCGGCTTTGCAAAGGAAAAGGGGGGAGCTCTTTCTCCTCCCAGGAGACCCAAATAGGCCATGTGAGGACATAGTGATAAGTTCGCCATGTGCAACACAAGAGAGAAAATCCTCACCAGGAACCGAACCTTCATCTTGGAGAAATAAATGTCTGCTTAAACCAGACAGTCTGAGGTATTTTATTATGGCAGGTAGAGTTAAGACCAAGTTGAAAGAAAGTGGCTGAAGGAAAAATGATGTATTCATCCTGTTTGTTTGTTTGGGACAGAGTCTTGCTGTGGCGCCCAGACTCGTCTCAGACTGTGGTCCTGCCTCCGTTTCCCCAGCACCAGCTATGTGACACCCTTTCTGAGAGACTCCTTTGGCTGAGTGAGCAAAAAGGAGTGGAAGGCAAGAAGCTTTAGGAAGACTGGGCCAGCGGTGACAGTAACCTGGCTAGAATCACATTAGCAGAAGCCAAAAAAAAAAAGTGAATGAATGCAAAAGATAGTTAGGAATTAAAATAAGACTTGAAGTAGAAATCAAGCAGGTTGCTCATGTGAACAATTGCTGGCTGATGATTTCACCATCCACTCATACTAAATACTAATATTTAGAAAATACTTAAAGAAAGCAAGTAGGGTTTTTTGGGTTTTTTGTTGTTGTTTTGTTTTTAAGAGAAAATAGCTTCTGTGGGGAGAACAGAGGTGGGTTCAGATGCCTAGAAATGTCAATATCCATTTGGAGATTTGCAAATGGAACTTTAAGGACAGGCTGGGCTAGGGATACACATGTTGGGTGTTACTAGCATTAAGATGGTCACTGAAGTCACAGGAATAGTTGAGGAGAAAGTGACGTTCAGAAGTGGCCCATGTCAAAACACTAAGGAGCATTAAGATTTAAGGACTGGAAGCTGGAGAGATTGCTCAGCGGTGAAGAGAATTTGTTGTTATTGCAAAGGACCCACGTTCAGTTCCTAGCACCCACATGACTCAAAACCATCCACAACTCCAGTTCCAGGGGATTCAATGCCTGCTTCTGACCTCTTGAAGCCACCAGGCGTCCATGTAGTGCACATACATACATACATACACACATACAAGCAAAATGCTCATAGAAATTAAAATTAAAAATCTAAAAAAACTTTTTAAAAACAAGAAACTTAAAATTTTTTTTAAGCTGGGCAGTGGTAGCACACACCTTGATCCCAGCACTCAGGAGGCAGAGGCAGGTGGATCTCTGAGTTTGAGGCCAGCCTGATGTATAGAGCAAGTTCTGTAATGGCCAAGGTTACACACAGAGAAACCCTGTCTCGAAAAACCAAAAGAAAAAAAAATTAAGGTCTGAGTAAAGGGACAGGAGTCAGCAAGAGACAGAAAGAAGTGATAAGAGAAATGCAGCCACAAAGCCTAAAAAACACAATGTTTCAAAAAAAGGGACTTTAGCCAGAGAGCCAGGGATATAGCTTCACCTGTACAGCATCCTAGATTCGATCCCCAGTGTGCAGGTGTGTGTGAGTTAAGATGATGTTTGATAGCAATACAGGGAACTCAACTTACTGATCCCTTTAACAATTCACCTACTGGACCAAAACAACTGAAATCTGTGGGTCCTAAAGTACTTGCCCACCTGTAGGGGCCCACAGAGGTTTCCTAGTGAGACCTGAGCTTGCTTTACCCAGCAGGGCTGCTTAAGGGGATGGCTTGACCACGTGTGTGGGTACCAAGTGTTTGGGAGGGTCTGCACTTGGCTGTGCTAGGGGGAGGTCATTGGCACCACCCCTTGGCATTCCTTTAAAAAGTCCTTTAGAAGAGACAGGAGGGGCGGGTAGATAAGGATCCAGGCCCTCCTGAGGCGATCTTGTGTTTCTATCTCTCTCCTCCATATTTCTATCTAAATCTCTAGTCCCTCTCTCCTCAAGAGTACCTTGGGGGAAAAAGTGGGGGCGGGTCCCCCACACCCACCAGGCCAGTGATCTGTCTCCTTCATTTCCCTCTGTCTCATTTTCTTCCTCTTCCTCCTTTTTGGTCTTTTTTTTTTTTTTTCTTAAGATTTATTTATTTATTATGTATACAATGTTTTGCCTGCATGTATGCCTGCAGGCCAGGAGAGGGCACCAGATCTGGTTACAGATGGTTGTGAGCACCATGTGGATGCTGGGAATTGAACTCAGGACCTCTGGAAGAACAGCCAGTGTTCTTAACCACTGAGCCACCACTCAAGCCCCCCCCCCCTTTTTTTTTTTCTCTTTTCTCTCACCCTGGCTGACCTCAGCCTTCAAGTACTAGGATTTAAGGCATGTCTGGCTCAGACCAGCAAGTCTCAAAGTGTGTTTACCAGACTTTAAGCAATGTCAGAATCACCTAGGAGCCTGAAAGAAATACCAATTTGGGGGCCTCACTCACAAAAATTCAGTTTCTCAGTTGAACATGCTGGTGTGTGGTCTTGCAGTCTTTATTATCACCTCCTCTGGCTGATTCAGAAGTTCACCTAAGGATTAAAAACCACTGCACTGGACACTGCTTACAGCACCCAACAGCTATTCCTGTAGGAAAAACCTCTGTTGGCTAAAGACATTTTAATTTGAATGTATTACTCTATTTTTCAAAGTTATTTTAGCCCAAGCAGCAGGATTTTGTCAATACCCGACATTTTAAAAATAACCATGGGCCCTGTTTTTATTTTAATACCCCTGCCATACAACGAACCAACCAAAGATCCACTACTTACCAACATTTCCCTCTGTTGGGGATACAGTTTTTTTCCTTATAGCGTCTGCTTGGTCACAGCAGCGGAGTGTACATGTACTGTGGGACCTCACAGCTCTACGTGTGTGCCTCTTCGGCGTTTCAGTCAGCCAGCAACTCAGTAACTTACCTATGACAGTTTAAATTCCTGAGACGCATGTTGTTGGTGAGACTCAAATTGGTACAACTTAGGGTAATTTTGACAGTGTTTGCCAAAGAACAACAACAAAAAAACCCACATAGATTTGATCCAATAATCCCACCTCTGGAATTTAACATACGCATCTACCTGCACATACGAAGACGTGGGGCTTCTCCCCTGCCTCAGCCAGCAGTCAGGCCCCCTTCTAATCAGCTGGCTCTGCTGCCCCAGTCAGTAAGACACCAAGTTCAGGTAAGAACCCTTCGGAGCCCCTCGCGGCCTCCTCAGCCTGTGGAGTCACCCACCGTCAGGCAGGTGGAGGCCCCGTCAGAGGCCAGGTCAGCCCACCTCCCGGGCCCGCTCCCGCTGTGAATTAGGCTGGCTGGTCACACTCCTCACACCTGCCCCGGGGCCCGGGGTCAGTTGAGAGCCGCGGCGGACACCCCCTCAGCACCAACGTCTTCCTTGGCCCGCGAACCGCACGGCCCAGCCTCTCGGGTCTCTCCCTCCCCTCCCCCGCCCCCTCCCTCCCTCCTTTCCCTCCTTTCCCTCCCTTTCTCGGAGGAAAAGGGAGCCGGGCGCCTCCGGGGCTCCACGACAGCGCCCTTGCCCTCGCGCCGCGGCCCCGTGGTGGGCGGGGCCCGGGGCGGGGCGGGGCAATGGAGGGGGCGGGGCCGGCGGGGTACTAACCCCAGTGTGGGCGACGCGGTCGCTGCAGTCGCTTCAGCAGCTGGAACCGGAGTCGCAGTCGCCGGGGGTCGGTCGCTGGCCGCCGCCGGCGCGTGGCTCGGCCGGGCCCGTAGCCATGGAGGACTTCATCGTGATCTCCGACGACAGCGGCTCCGAGAGCTCGGCCGGGACCCGCTCGGGCAGGGCGCGGAGGCTGCGCCGGGCCCTGTCCCGGAC